TTCTTTTTAAAGTATTGCTGAAAATAATTTTTCCTTCAAAATATATTGCTGGTAATATTTTTTTTTTATTACAAAGTATTTCTGATATTAAAACCTATTTTTACGCAAATTTGGGTGTGAAATATTTGCCCATAGCTAGGACCACTAACAGGTGCTTCCACGCCGGGTGAGGGTGGACCTGGGAACGCCAGCAATTAAGAGGTGGTTCCATGCTACTCAAAACCTCCTGATCAGAGGCCTTGCAGTTGGACGTAGTTTATTGTCTTACCCAGCACGCGGATGTAGTTTATCGTCATACTCAGAACAGATATCGGAGACTTATGAATTCACCGATAGCTGAGTAGAGAAGTGACGGATATATAACTTTTCCCAAGAGGATTTTTGCGTAAGTGATCAGAATTGAAATTGGAAACCGGCTCTCCGATTAACAATTACGAACTATTACACCATCCGCACATCCAAGTTTACAGTATCTGATGATGTGATTCAACGTATTTGAACCTAAGCCTAAAAATATAATAGGATATTAACACTTTGCGCCGTGCGTTCCTGAACAATTTTAACTATTCTGCCTGAGCTCCTGAGTCAAAATTCGCAAATAATTGATATGTAATGTTTCACGGTAGATATAAAAAATAGTTGCAAATATTTACCCACCGTTCTACCGATGGTTCGGCATTGAGTCATTTTTCTCTACCACCTTTTTTATATAATTTTATGTATTTTTTCTATAGGGTGGTCAGGGATGAAAGGGTTAATCAGTTCATCCCTAGCAAAACGATGAATCAACTAAAGAAAATAACAACTTCAAGTCATAAACAAAACAGAAGGGTACTAAACAAAATGGTAAAAATGGTAGAATATATATCTAGATAAAGAAAGGAAAGTAAGAATTAAGCATCACACTATTTTTTAACTTGTCAAGTTCCTGTAGAAAAAGTCTTTTCTGGGACACCCTGTCTGCTATGCTTAATTGCCTCTTTTCTTACTCTTCCACTCTAACTCTTTCTTTTCCTCTCCTCTCCTCTATCCATGTTTATCTCTCTCACTTCCGAAAAAAAAAAACTTATTTTGAATTTTTTGTCTTTCTTCCCCTTTTTTCTTTCTCCCTTTTAACATAAAAACCTTTTTCCTTTTTTATCTTTACTCTCATTTTTCTCCTTTTTAATTTCCATTGTGTATGAATAAACTGAACTCCATTTATTAATGAAAAACTAGCATGAAAAGGTGGACGTGAGGTCCAAGAAATAAATTTATTACCACCTGACCAGGTGGATTTTTAAAAACTTTGTATCCATTATTATATTGTTCTGTTCTTACATTGAGCTTTCTTTGGATTTATATCCTCCTTGGAATTATCCTAGTAATCATCAAATTTTATATATATATATATATATATATATATATATATATATATATATATATATATATATAAAAGACATTTTTATGTTTAACGTTCTTTTTATAGATACAAGTATTTAAGTAAATGCTCTGTTTATAATAAACAGTATTAAATAACATTTAAACATAAAAATGTCTTTAATAAATAAATTGTCGGACTTTGTCCATTTCTTAATATATATATATATATATATATATATATATATATATATATATATATACAGAAGTAATTATACAACTAATTAATAAGTAAATTTAATGTAATTAATGGTGGGTGAAATTACTTCGCTAACAGATTTAATAAAACATTAACTTACTAACCACTCGTTAAATGACACGATCCTTATGTTTTAAATTGTAAGATGGAGTAGATGTTTCGTCGTTAATACTTTCGAGGACATTCACATCTTCATCGTCAGGCATTAATATTTTTTCATTTCAGGTAAATTTCCCAAAAAATGCATAGCAGACCGAAAGGATTTGACGCATTACTATAACAAAAAATATTCTCACTTGAAATATCTGAAATACAAATCTAGCTTTGCGAGACTGCACGTTGCAAAATTTACCGTTGATAAATAGCACCCTCTTAAAAAATCATCTGTCCAATGTTTACCTATAGCCTCATGTATAAACCTAATTACTAATCACTCGTTGAATGACGTGATCCTTATGATAAAAATTATAATATATATTTATATACTCATATATATATATATATATATATATATTGAACAATAAAAAATATTAAAAATTAAAATCTTCAGATACACTGGGTTGTAGATTAATATTCTTTCGTTACTATTATTATTATTATTTCATTTAGATTCCTCGACTAGTTTCGGCCCAAATGGCCATCATCAGGAGAAGAAATATTTCCGCTTGCTGGTAGCAGTGAACTACAGATATATATATATATATATATATATATATATATATATATATATATATATATATATATATATATGAATTTTTGTTTTTAAGGTGATTTTCATTAATAACGGCTATCCGGTGGCCCTTATTGACTATATTATTAGTAAAAGTCTAAGGAATTTCATTCCCCTAAAATCAGGGGCCTTCTAAATGTCCGGTTTATTTGAAGATTCCCTGGATTGGGGATAGGGGTCAGGGCTTAATTAAGCAGGTTAACAAGTCGGTTTCCGGTTGTTTCCCATCAGTTGCTTTACGTAGCATTTTCGAACTAGGTCTGCGTTTCCGTCTTTTCGCAAGGATGTATTGCCCTACATCAAATTGGGTAATTTAGTATATGAGTTTAATTGCCAGTGTGCTGCTGGTTATGTGGGGCGTACAACCTTGCATTTTGGATACTAGAATCAATCAGCACGTACCTTCAAAAATACGACTTGGTAAGATAGATAGAATATGCTATCTTCCCCCATGGAATCAGCTATTGCTCAACATTTAGTTGAGAATATAGCCTGCATAAGTTGTTTAAAAAAGGGGGTTTAAAATTATTCATACAGCCGATTCCAACAATCATTTTGAAGATTTTGGAATCGGTCATGAGGATTAAAACCTTCTCTCTGCCGGCAGAAAAATTTGTAAAGTCTCTGAATCTGTTGGGGGATATTTTATTTTAACTGTCCCTCGCTAATTTATTTACGATTATTTCCCCTCCCCTCGTTACAAGTATATACCTTGTTTTGTTAATTTAGTGTGTTTCCCCCTCTTTTTGCTCTTCAATATCGTTAATATTCTTTTTCGCTAATCAACGATTGTCTCCTGATGAGATGTTGGCTGAAAAAAACCCTAGAGACTTTTAAAAATTAAAATCAATGCATTCCTTGTTTTTAAACTATATATATATATATATATATATATATATATATATATATATATATATATATATTGAACAATAAAAAATATTAAAAATTAAAATCTTCAGATACACTGGGTTTGTAGATTAATATTCTTTCGTTACTATTATTATTATTTTTCATTTAGACTCCTCGACTAGTTTCGTAAAAATGGCCATCATCAGGAGAAAAATATTTCCGATTGCTGGTAGCAGTGAACTACAGATATATATATATATATATATATATATATATATATATATATATAATATATTTTTAGTAAAAAAAGGTAAACAACAAGCAATTTTTATTAACAAATACCTCGCCTACAAAAACGCCTGATAATTATGCACCAACCCAATACATTTCATATATAGGTGGAAAGGTGCCAAAAAGACTTATGATAAGTTGCTCTGATTAAGCTATTTATTCAGTTTTCCTTGTGTTCGTTTAACTTTTTTCTTTTTTTTAAAATAGAACAAAGTCAAAACTATCCGAAAATTTTATGGATTAAATATTTTTTTCTGTTATTATCAATGATGTTGTTTATATTTTATTTCTAAGCCAATATGTGGATATTTTTATATCTTGGCTAAATATACTGAACGCAGTAAACATAGAAAAGAAAATGCTGACGCTCAATAATATCAACAATGAACACGGTCACAATGTGCTGACTGTGTTTAAAAATTAAAAAAAACAATTCCCATCAATTTATATATATATATATATATATATATATATATATATAACTTCTACGTAATCAGTTAAAAAAATAAAAAATAAAAGCATCGTTGATAATGAGATCGAGAGTAAATGATAAAATGAGCTAGATCGAGCGATAGAAACTAATATATATATATATATATATATATATATATATATATATATAGAGAGAGAGAGAGAGAGAGAGAGAGAGAGTAACAAGATGAGATTAATCGAGAGTGAGACACTGATTTATACAAGATAGATCCATAGATTAGATGAGAGGTAGTAAGATTGAGAGAGAAAGATAAAATAAGAGAGCTCGACAAACAGACTAAAATAGATATACAGATAGATAGACCGATATGAAGAAACTGAGATAGATAGATAGATAGATTGATAGATAGATAGATAGATAGATAGATACATAGATAGATAGATATGAAGAAACTAGATAGATATGAACAGACAGAGATACATAGATAAAAAAATAGAAAGATAGATAATGAATATACTGAGCTAGCTAGCTAGATAGGTAGGTGGGTAGGTAGGTTGACAGGTAGGTAAATAGATAGGTAGGTAGATAAATACATAGATATGAAGAAACTGAGATAGATAGATAGATAGATAGATAGATAGATAGATAGATAGATATGAACAGAGAAAGATATGAAGAAAATGAGATATACAGATAAGGAAGTAATACACTGTGATAGAGAAAGACAAAAAGAAGTTTGAGAGAAAGGTAACGTCACCCGCAATAGTTCTTAAACTTTCTTTACCCATCCTGCATCTCAACGTCTATTTGTAAAGTCACTACGAATGTGTAGCGGCATTTCAGCCCCGAACCCACGGGCTGTCAATCGTAAACTCGGTTGTATTTGCCATCGCGCCAAGAGCCACGGATACCCCATGAAGGTCGGCGAGCGTCTGACGCGCCGGCTGCATGCTCACATCCGATTTTCCGCAACGTGGTCGTCACCGGAAGTGACCGTGTTTTACATCCGCCATCCGCCTCACTTTGCTTTTGTTATTTTTTTTTTTTTTTTGCGAGGCCATGTTGCGTGGCGCCTGAAAATGGTCGACCGCACGCGCCTTATTATCACATTGAAGGAAAGAAACGCAAGACAGGCCCGAACATTGTCGATAGATCGATGGTTTGCAGTCATGATAACTACTTCCGGTGCGAGGGTCGGGTTCAGACATCACGTGATGCAACTAATGGTATTGCGCATTGAATGCATTTTGGTCAAATTAACCCGTTTGGCAATGAGCCATAGAGGTGGAAGAAACTTAAAAAAAGAAAAAGGAAAAAGTAACCCTGAAGTCTGAAAGAGAATGAAGTTGAAAGAAAGACTAGAATTATGGCGCAGATGTGATAAAAACTAAATATATATATATATATATATATATATATATATATATATATATATATATATATATGTAGTTTTTCATTTCTATCTGTTTTTTTTTTTTTTTGTTCACCAGATTTTCCTTTTCTGTTACAAGGTGATGAAGTTAGATACTGATAATTAAATAGAATGTAAGTAATTGAATCTGTGAAGATTTTAAAATATATTCATAATAAAAATCTTAGACGGATTTATGAGGCAGGCATAATATTTATCTCACGCACGGGGAATACTAGAACCAGCTTCATTAATATTTCCCCTTTTATGGCAAGATTAATGCTGGACAAACGTACTTATAAATTTTAGATTAAAATAAAATTCTTTTTCATTTAAAATATACTCTATTTTACGAATACGTTTTCACAACATCGCCTACGCGAGGCCGACGTGATCGTATTGTTAAACGGAACGCTCATCTTAAAAATTTCAGTTATTCTGTTTTGATTAGTCTTATGTCTATCGTGTTTTCATGTTGACTTGAATATCGTCTAATTTTAATTGTGTTTTAATAACTATGTCCTGAAGAAGGTCTACTAGACCGAAACGTCTGACGTCGACATTGAAACAACATTAAAACAGCATACTTGCATATTCGGATTTTTTATTTTTATAAATAGAAATTTTATTATATATATAAGTCATTTCTTATGTTTATACGTTCTTTTTATAGATACAAATATTTAAGTAAATGCTCTGTTTATAATAAACAGTATTAAACAACCATTACCGGCCTGAATGTCCAAGAAAATTTCATATATGCGTCCTCCGACAGGAATCGAACCCGTATGCTATACGGAATCGTCCTATAGCGGGACGTGCCTTAACCGATTGGGCCACAGAGGAGCGTTCGGTTGGCAAGGTCGATTCTACTGTTTTTAAACACAGTTCTCCTTGATTTTCTCTCATACATTCATATCTGCTGAATGCATATCCAAATTTAAACAAATGCGTCACACATTATGAAACGGACAAAGTCCGACAATTATTTTTTTATGTTTATAAAAAAAATGTCTTCAAAAATAATTGTTGGACTTTGTCCATTTCATAATGTGTGACATCATATATATATATATATATATATATATATATATATATATATATATATATAAAAAAAAGAACAGTAAGATATAAAATCCGGTGTTCTTATAGATATTTTATTTTTACAAAATAGTGCTCAATGTAAATTTACAGAGCATTAATATTATAAATTAATTGATTTAAAATATGGTTATTTTCGCTACACAGTTCCAACCATGCTTTTAATTTAATTGCAAAAATAAAATTAGGGGTTTTTAGCTTCTATTTTTGAAACATGGTTGGAACTGTGTAGCGAAAATAACCATATTTTAAATCAATTAATTTATAATATATATATATATATATATATATATATATATAATATTATTATTATTATTATTACACAGAAAAATAAAATATAAAGACAATAAATATATACATGGTGCGATGGGTAAATTGTCGCCATTTATATTTTCAATTTCGCGCATGCGCATCGTTTGTTTTTGATTTTGTCAATTGCACAGTATAGTCGAGTCAGTTTCACACCGTCTTCCCACAAGGCCTCAGAATCAACAGCGAGGCATACATCAAATGACTTGAAGAGGTAGTTCTGCCCTGGTTCAAGAGGGTGGCCGCTGGAAGACCTATGTCTGAAACAGATCTTTGCTCCATGCCACACATACAGGAGAACCCATTTATTGCTGCCAAACAATTTCTGCGAATACATCACCACTAAGATCTAGCAATCTAAATCCCTATATCGCAACACCCTGTGGGGCGCAGTTGAGCGAGACATCTACAAAATTCCTTGTAACACCAAAGATGAATTGAAGGCATGATTATGGCAGCATTCAACAAATTAAACAAGGAGACCGTTCACGGGAGTAGCAGAAGATTACGAAGTCTTCTGAAGGTAGTGGTTGAAGCCATTGGTGATTTTATTGAATAAATGTATTCTTTAGTATTTCAGAGATACTTTTGTGTACTTTCCGTAAATATATCTGTTAAAATGAGTTGTCAGTGTTATTTACATTTTTACTTAATTTACACGACAATTTATCCAACGCACTATATATATATATATATATATATATATATATATATATAAATTCCCAAAAGGAAAGAATCCAGGTAGATCTCAATGTCCAGAACAGAGTAAGAATATAATTATAAAAGGATCAAACACTAATATTCCATGGTTATTATTTATTACATTGGAATCGTAATCAAGATACAATTCATCAGACCTACAAATTACGATTCCAATATAATAGATTATAACCATGGAATATTAGTGTTTGAGGCTTTTAAATGTATATATTGAAAGAACATAATCGCAATAGGTAGATAGATATAAACTTATATATATATATATATATATATATATATATATATAGAGAGAGAGAGAGAGATAGATAGATAGATAGATAGATAGATAGATAGATAGATATAAACAAACTTAGATATGGATAGAGTGATATAGATAGAAACAGATTTAGAAACAAACTAAGATAGATCGATAGATAGATAGATAGATGCAAACAGAGATATGACAGACTTAGATAAATATAAACTAATTGAGATAGATAAATAGATACGATCAGATTAATATATATATATATATATATATACATATAATATATAAATAATATATACATATAATATATAAAAATATATATACATATAATATATAAATAATATATATAATATATTGCACATATATATATATATATTTATATATATATATGTATATATTTATACATATATACACTTTTCACACACATATACATATATATATATATATATATATATGTATATATATATATGTGTCTGTGTGTGAAGTGTATATATATATATAATATATTTATGTAGATAGATACATAGATAGATACATAGATACGATCAGATTAATATATATATATATATATTTATATGATTGCATATGTATGTGTATATTTACCACTAATATTATTAATATATATATATATATATATATATATATATATATATATATATATTTACAGATAGATAGATACGATCAGAGTAATATATATATATATATATATATATATATATATATATATATAGATAGGTAGATGCGATCAGACTAATATATATATATATATATATATATATATATATATATATATATATATATATATATGATAGATAGATAGATAGATAGAATTCATTAGATTTAGAAAGAAACCAAAAAAGACAATAACTGCTTGAAACATGAGAATATCAGTTAAAGTCAGAGAAGGACAAAAGAATGATGGAAGAAAGAAACCAGCAAGCAGCAAGCATTTAAAGGAATAAAATAAAACAGTCTCATTCTTTGTTTCTTCATTCTACAAAAATCAAACACTCGATATTGATTGTAAAAGATTGAACCAGCGGCTAGGAGAGGCGGGGAATGAATTATCTCCCTTTGTTTCGTACGTACAGTTTTTTTTTTTCTTTTTCATTTGTTTGTTCAATTCATTTTTTTCTTTCTTTATTTACTTACCATTTTTCTTTTTATTATTCCTCTCTGAGGTGTCAAAGCCCAAGAGGAACTCATTTAATACGAGAGGAGGGCAGAGAGAAAATGGTAAAAATAAAAGAAAAGGAAATAATGAAAAAAAAAAAAAGTAACTATCAAACAACAACGAATAAATCTTTAATGATACACTGATGAGTTAAAATTTTCTTTGCTACGACTACTACAGGGCAAGATTTAACTTTCTCATCCACCGCTTGCGTTGCCTTCGGTCAAACAACCTATTTTCCCGCCTTTAACTGCTCGCATGATTGACTGACAAAGTTCAGCTTGATCTTAGACAAAGATTAGCGCCAGGTCACTGTGTTATAAGCCAGAGATAAAAGAAAGTATTTAATAAGAAGATTTTAAAACTTGCGTAATTAATTTATCTTTCAGTATAACATTTCGGAGTCTGTCTATAACGTCCTCAAGGACACATGGCACAGTGGATAAAGGCGTTGGTTAGATCCAGTGACAGACTCAAAGAAGGTGAGTTTAATACCTGGTTAAGGCAGTGGAGAACTTTCAGGGGGAAAATTAGCAGGAGATAACTGATAACTGACATCCATCAAACATGGCACGTGGAACTAGAACAGTCTACCCCAGTGATCGAAATAAAGGGTTCAGTTCGAAATTCAAACCACCTGAAGAAGGCCGGAGCGTACAACGGCCGAAACGTTGTGACAAATATGGCGACAAAGATGAGGACAATAGTCCGACTAATGTAAATACTGTATATAATATTTCGATATCCAGAAAATACATAACGCCTTCCACACGTTACAAGAGTCAGATCAAACGAAAAAAGCAGGATTGATGCCATATCTAGATATCAATCTTTACTATCCAGGCCTGACAGAGTTCAAAATCGCCCACACGGCCTTCTGAGAGACTAATTATTTTCCACACTACAGCTCTTTCCCTGAGACAAATCGATACTATTCTCTGGCTATTCTATCGCTATTTCCAAGGCAAATGTTTAGACCAGCTACATTACTTATTTCCACCAGTTCAGACCTTTACAGCTACGGTTCTCATGTAGATCGAATAGGCGGCTTTTAAGCTAGCTTAAAATTTTAACTAGCTTAAAATTCTAAGCTAGATGCAATTTTGGATACAAAAGAAAAATACGAATCACTCCCCTTGAACCATGAAAGCAACGATAATGGCTAGTATAATATATTAATATATATATATTTAACATCGTATAATCTGGCAACCATGAATCTGGTCTCAACGAAAATCGTTCTCTGCGCCTAAATTTTTTAGTGTTTTTGAATGAGATAGGAATCATTGAAATCCGACCAGTCGGAGCAGAGGACTTGCTTGGACATACACACAAACGCACACACATACACTGCACTTTATATATAAGATTAACAAAGAAATCCAATAGTTCCTCATATGGGGAATAGTCTATTTCGACAGACGATGTTGTCGGTCGTCTGTCTTATCAACCCCAGTGTGGAATGAGTTCACTTCCATAAAGTTAGATGAGGCAGTAAGTAGAATTTAACTGTGAAAGTTAACAAATACAAATTGCCGAAAACATCTACTACGGAATTTGTCTTTATTTCTAAGATGAGGTATTATGTACACTATTTACATTATTCGGACTATTGTCCTCATCTTTGTCGCAGTTGTATGCTCCGGCCTTCTTCAGGTAGTTGGAATGTCAAACTGAACCCTTTATTTCGCTCGCTAGGGTAGACTGTTCTAGTTCAATGTGCCATGTTTAATGGGTGTCCGTTATCAGTTATCTCCTGTTAATTCCCCTCTCCAAGTTCTCCACTGACTTAACCGGGTATTGAACTCACACTCTTTGGGTCCTGTCGCTGGATCTAACCAACGCCTTTATCCACTCAGTGGATATATGCAAGTTTCATTAAATATTACAGACAAGATGCTTTGATTTAGTTTTTTTGTGTAATTTTTCATGTGATCTTACATTTTTTCTTTTCAGTACATAAATTATATAAAAACTGCCCCACCAAAATTTCTTTCCCGAAACCTTTCAGCGATACATTTAGCAATTTTCAAGGTTGAAATAGACTTGGGCAGTTTTATATAATTATCTATTTGTCTGTTATATATATATATATATATATATATATATATATATATATATATATATGTCTTAAAATACTTGTCGGACTTGTGTCCATTTCATAATTTGTAACGTCATTTTCTTACATTTGATACGCCATGAGCAGATATGAATGTACGTGAGAGATTCATAGAAGATTGAAGTTCAAATACAGTAAATTCGACTTTGCTAGCTGAACGCGCCTCTGTGGACAAATCGGTTAAATGCACGTCAAGCTAAATGGCGGCTCCGTATAGGATACAGGTTCGAATCCTGTCAGAGGACGAATATTTTCTGTGAAAAAATCTCGGACATTCAGGCCGGTAAATGTTGTTTGATACTGTTTATTATAAACAGAGCATTTTCTTAAATATTTGTATCTATAAAAAGAATGTATAGACGTAAAAATGTCTTAAAATATATGTATGTGTGTCTTTCCTTCTCTCGCTTCTTTCTATCTTGTCTTTTCTCTTTTTTCGACTTTATCTTCTGTCTTTCTTTCGTTTTTTTTTCTTTTTAGCGGAGACTATACTTTATATCTTTCTTTCTTGCCTCTTTTTTTATTTTTTTTTCACGGGAAAAGAGATTGTATATAAGTACATATTAAAAATTGTAATAACCTTCATTTATCACAGCCTAGTTAGATGTGATGATATGCATCGAAACATGAGTGCACTTATGTAGCTCATTTACATGTATGTTCTATATATAATATACTATAATAAAGTGTGTATATATATATATATATATATACTTCCTTGTCTGTGTATTCAGATTTAGGAATAATCTGTATATATATATATATATATATATATATATATATATATATATATATATATATATATATATATATATATATATATATATAGGCTATTCCTAAATATATATATATATATATATATATATATATATATTCCTAAATATATATATATATATATATATAGGCTATTCCTAAATATATATATATATATATATATATATATATATATATATATATATATTAATTTAAAAATATGATTCCATATTTTAAATTAATAATTATAATTATATCTCTACTTTTGTATCGAGCACTAGTTTTTAAAATAATAACAAAAATACTAAGAAACCTTGGATTATTTACCTAACCAGTTCTTTCCTATTTTCTATATTTTCACACACATATATATATATATATATATATATATATATATATATATATATATATATATATATATATATATATATATAGGGCATTCCTAAATCTGGACACACAGACAAGGAAGCATATTTTCAAGAGATTAAATTTTCAACAACATTTTATTGAATTGGAATATTTTAGCAAACAACATCTTCAATATGATTTCCATCATTTGCAATGCAAAGGTTGATGCACTTTTCAAGATTCATGTGAACCTAATGCAAATAACTGCACATTGCCATCAATATTAGCACATTCAATCAAGTCTGTTGCATCTTTGATTTTCTTTGAATACCCCCTCCCCTTAAACATACCCCAGAAAAAAAAAGTCTTTTGTCGAAAAAACCTTGCTTAATAAGTAGAAGTAAAAAAACATATAGGTAATGAGATATCCCATGTGTCAAGATTTTAGAGACACCTCTATATATATATATATATATATATATATATATATATATATATATATATCGCACTTTAGCACATACTCTGAATCCATCATAAAAATTCCGGCTGTGAAATAGTAAATACTAATATACAACCGCATAGTACAGAAATGGCTATTATTACGACCAAATATACATACATACAAGCTTATACATGTAAAATGTATTAAGACGCACATACATACGCGCACACACGTCATGGGTACATACATAAATTTACAGACATTTTCTCCTGTTCCACCGACCCTTCAATGGCTGAGTTTTCCAAGTCAGAATAATTGCCAATTTCCTTTATTTACCAAGTTTACCATTCCATGATTTCTACTTAGGCGTGTGGATATGGAAGTAATTTTCTCTTCGACTTTTCTTTTAAATTCATGATGGATTTTGTGTCTAAATTAATAAAAGCCCAGTAGAATGTTTCTCTCGATCACTTAAATCGCAGGAGTTGATCCCAGATCTGTAATTTCTTTCGCATTCCTGTTCTGCTAATAAGTTATTGTTAACTTTACCGTACTGTCGCTCGCCATGGCTTTTATTTACCAAGATATAGGAATGTAGGTTGTAACATGTCGGAGAGAAATTTATGAGAATTTGAATGTCGTTTTTATGATTTGCTTCTGGTGTGGCTTCATAAAATGGAACAAGGCAATGATCTTTAAAATATTGAATTATAATGGCTTCAGAAAAAAAGCAACTTTAAACAAATAAATAGCAAAAAGAATAAACTGCTATTTTTATAAGAGAATAGAAAAAAAAACTTGATATTGTAATTCTTTCTTTCTTTCTTTCTTTCTTTCTTTCTTTCTTTCTCGTTTTTATTTATTTCTCTACATATTTCTTCTTTGATTTTCCACATTTTATATTGTTTGCTTCTTTCTTTCTTTCTTTCTTTCTTTCTTTCTTTCTTTCTTTCTTTCTTTCTTCCAGAATCCAGACTTATTTCTTCTTTTATTGTCTTGATTGTTTTTTTTAACTTTCTTTGTTTCTTTCTTTGTTACTTTATTTCTTTTTCTTTTCTTACCTTCTCTTGTTTTGTTTTTTTGTTCTTTCTTTCTCGTTCATAATCCAGACTTAATTCTTCTTTTATTCTCCTCATTATTAGCTTCTTTCTTTCTTTCTTTCTTTCTTTCTTTCTTTCTTTCTTTCTTGTTCACAATCCAGTCATTTAATCTTTCATTCTCCCAATTTTAGCTTGCTTCTTTCTTTCTTTCTTTCTTTCTTTCTTTCTTTCTTTCTTTCTCGTTTTTATTTATTTCTCTACATATTTCTTCTTTTATTTTCCACATTTTATATTGTTTGCTTGCTTCTTTCTTTCTTTCATTTTTCTTTCTTTCTTTCTTTCTTTCTTTCTTTCTATTTCTACTTTACTCATCCTTCCTTTTTTCTTTCTTTCTTTCTTTATTACTTTCTTTCTTTCTTTCTTTCTTTCTTTTTTTCACTTCTTCATTTCTTTCTTTCTTTTCTGTTTATACTTCATCCATGCTTCTTTCGTTCTTTCTTTTGGTTTCTTTGTTTTCTTTATTTCTGTCATTCTTTCTTCCTCATTTCTACCTCCCTTTCTTACATACTATCTTTCTTTCTTTCTTTCTTTCTTTCTTTCTTTCTTTCTTTCTTTCTTTCTTTCTCATAATCCGGATGTTTCAGAAGAGGTATGGCATGTGGAACTAAATAAATCTTCCCCTCTGGATGAAATAAACCGTTCGGTTCGAAATTCCAATCACCTGAAGAAGGCCGGAGCGTACAACGACCGAAACGTTGTGAATATGGCAATGCAGACGAGGATAAAAGTTTGAATAATGTAAGTAATGTAAAAGTATCCGTGAGTGTCTCTCTCTGTGTGCCTATGTTAGAGAGTCCGCATATGTCTGCGCGCGCACCTTTTTATGCGCGTGTGTGTGAGACTACGTGTGTGTATGCTTGTGTATGCGCGTGTGTGTATGCCTCTCTGCGTGTGTGTGCTGTACGTGTTTCTGCGTGTACGCGCGTGCGAGTGTGTTCGTCTATGTCTATGCGCACGCGCGTTTGTGTGCGCATGCGTTTAAAAATTTCAGTATTAAATTAGCTTCATCAGAATGTTTTGGCATTGGAATGATGCGCGATAATGTCTCAGTGTTTGAAATCCATATTTATCTTGTTTTCATGGGTTGTGTAGACGAAAATCTATTTGAAAAGTGAACATTCGTCCGTATTGATCTTTCGTGTTGTACAGCAGATTTTAGAGGATGAAGCAAAGGTCTGACAAAATATGGCCGCCGATGCTCCCGGTTTGACATGGAATCCGCCGAACGTGTGTGGGCTTGCCGCGAAAGGTAATCATTGATTAGCAAAGTTTACAATGAAAATGACGATTCCCCGGAATGCCGGGAAAGATATCCACACGTCTTGGATATCTTTCACACGAACGCGTGGGTCCCCCAAGGCTCTATCCTGGGTCCCACACTGTTTCTGATCTTCATCAATGATCTTCCTGATATCTTCAGTTCCCAAGTAACCAATTATGCAGTTGACACTACCATTTAACCCTGTCTTAAAATCAAATCAATTTAATCTACCCGCTGTTCTTGAAATGGACCTTCAATCAGTGGTTAACTGGAGCAGAAAATGGCCTGTAAATATCAATTCCTCCAAAATGAAACTGCTCTCTTTTAACTACCGTAGATAAACTTTCCAGGGCTGGTGTAGACTCATGGAGAGTGTCTCACGCGCCTTCTTGGCCTCACGGTTTCAACTGACTTGATGTGAGAAAACTTACACTGAATCAATAGCTGCATCTACAGCAAGGAAAGTTGCTTCATTATGACGTGACAGAAGGTTTTTCTCGTTATAGTCCATCCTGCACCATAACAAATCTACCATCCGGCCGTGAATTGAATATTGTTACCGTATCCGACCATCTTTTGCTCCAGTTATCGACAGTCCTGCCATTTTGACCTTGTCATACTGATCAGCCTTACTATCGAGGCGCAGGAGTAAATGTTAGTGTCGTTAGCGTAGATGACAAGTTGAGAGCTGTTGTCACCGGAAAGGTCGTTAGTGAAAATTAAAAACAGCGAAGGACCAATGATGGAGCACTGGAGGTCACCCGCGTTAGTAGGAAAGGATGTAGACGCGTGGTCGTTCAGAATAACTTTCATTTCACGATTTGACAGGAAAAACTGTATCAGCTCAGATATGTGTTGTAAATTTTCAGCTGGTGGAGAAGATCTGAATGCCAGACACTGTTAAAAGGCTCTCGAGATGTCCAGTGCTACAGACCGTCCGTCATCGTGTTTATCTTGATCATGATAGACTCTTTCCGCAAATAGTATTAATACCTCAGCAATAGACATAGAGAATAGAAAGCCATTTAGCTTGTCTGAGAAACGCCCCTACCGACGAGAGATGCGAGATTACATATATATATATATATATATATATATATATATATATATATATATATAGTCAAACCTAGAGAGCCAGACAAACCTAGCAAGGTTTCACCTAAGCGGATCATCAGTGAAAGCCGGCTTTCACTGACGATCTAATAACTTAACACACTTTTCATTGATAAAACCTATTGTAAGTTGTGAGTTGTACGTATGAGAACAAAGTTTTATACTCTTTAAGACATGGGCAACCAGGGATCCCTTCAATGGGTTTATCGGAACTTTTTTTCCAATCAAACCTATTTAATGTTCTTCAACATAGATCATCATCCGGTCTTAAGTAGTTAGATTGTTTTGGGTTTGTAAGGCAGTTCTAGTTGAACTAATCCTCTGCCCACCATCCACCAGAGAACTAACATCATTGACCAACTAACGAGGGAGGGGATGAGGAATTAAACCAATGAAAAAAGGGGACAGAAATAAAAGGTGGGCAATGAGCATATGTACCCTTCTTTCTTTTTATTTGCCATGTCCTTTCAGGAGGTAGGTGATCATGGTTCTCCACCTCCCTCTATCCCCTGAAGCCCTCAACAAGATTCTTCCCTCTGCTTCCTTCCCCCCAGACCATGTTCTGTCATCCACTTGCTTAAGCCCGCCAGGTATGTCATGCATTGGTTTCCCTTGTCTCTCTTTGCCTCGTGTGTAACAGACTCTCAAAGCCGCCTTTCCTTATGTATCCCAGAAACTTCCGCTGCTTCTTCCTGATATTAAGTATAAACCACCTCCTGGTTTGCAACCTCTCTAAGATCTCATCGTTGCTCACACGCTCAGTCCATGACCTGAGCTAAGTTAATTGGCATGAAGTGCAACAGAAATTGTGGATTAAGGATCTAATTCCAGGTTATTAACACTATTTACATCAGATACAATATCTCATAGTTACAATACCTCATCTCAGAAATATTTCTGAGATGAGCTATTATAACTATTTACACTATTTACATCGTTCGGACTGTTGTCCTCATTTTTATTTTTCACTATGTTTCAGCTGCTGTACACACTGGCCTTCTTCAGAATCTGTCAATATTTCTGAGATGAGGTATTGTAACTATTTACACTATTTACATCATTTAGACTGTTGTCCTCGTCTTTATTGCCATATTCACGATGTTTCAGCTGCTGTACACACTGGCCTTCTTCAGAATCTGTCAATATTTCTGAGATGAGGTATTGTAACCATTTACACTATTTACATCTTTTAGACTGTTGTCCTCGTCTTTATTGCCATATTCACTATGTTTTCAGCGGCTGTACACTGGCCTTCTTCAGAATCTGTCAATATTTCTGAGATGAGGTATTGTAACCATTTACACTATTTACATCATTTAGACTGTTGTCCTCGTCTTTATTGCCATATTCACGATGTTTCAGCTGCTGTACACACTGGCCTTCTTCAGAATCTGTCAATATTTCTGAGATGAGGTATTGTAACTATTTACATTATTTACATCATTTAGACTGTTGTCCTCGTCTTTATTGCCATATTCACGATGTTTCAGCTGCTGTACACACTGGCCTTCTTCAGAATCTGTCAATATTTCTGAGATGAGGTATTGTAACCATTTACACTATTTACATCATTTAGACTGTTGTCCTCGTCTTTATTGCCATATTCACTATGTTTCAGCGGCTGTACACACTGGCCTTCTTCAGAATCTGTCAATATTTCTGAGATGAGGTATTGTAACCATTTACACTATTTACATCATTTAGACTGTTGTCCCTCGTCTTTATTGCCATATTCACGATGTTTCAGCTGCTGTACACACTGGCCTTCTTCAGAATCTGTCAATATTTCTGAGATGAGGTATTGTAACTATTTACACTATTTACATCATTTAGACTGTTGTCCTCGTCTTTATTGCCATATTCACGATGTTTCAGCTGCTGTACACACTGGCCTTCTTCAGAATCTGTCAATATTTCTGAGATGAGGTATTGTAACTATTTACACTATTTACATCATTTAGACTGTTGTCCTCGTCTTTATTGCCATATTCACGATGTTTCAGCTGCTGTACACACTGGCCTTCTTCAGAATCTGTCTATATTTCTGAGATGAGTTAATTTAAATATTTACACTATTTACATCGTTCGGACTATTGTCCTAAACTTTATTGCCATATTCACGACGTTTCGGCTGTTGTACGTTCCGGCATTCTTCAGGATCTGTCAATGTTTCTGAGATATTATAAATATTTACCTTGTTTATATCATTCAGGTTGTTATCCTCATCTTTATTGCGATATTCATAACATTTCGTCTGTTGTAATCTCTGGCCTTCTTCAGGTGATATGTTGGAATTTCGAATCGAACTCTTTATTTAGTCCACGGGTTAGAGTCTTCTAATTCCACGTGCCATGCTTCTTTTTTTTGTTTTTTTTTCTTTTAAAGATATCTCAGTTTTAATTAATTCCGTTGAGTAACTCATCTCCCCAAGATTTCTTTTGTCTCTCTTCTCTGGTCTGGTATTGAGCTGAAAATTCTTTTCGTCAAGTCAGTTATCCACTGACCCATGTTTACATGTTTACATAATTCTGATGCCACATTTATGTAAAAAAAAGTGCTCCGTATCAGGGATCGAACGTATGTAAATATAAAAATGAAGGCGGAGGTCAACACCGCGCGGAAACAGGCCTGAAGGTTACGTTCAATCTCACTCCCCAATCTCTCTCTCTCTCTCTCTCTCTCTATATATATATATATATATATATATATATATATTAGGATATATAGGTACCCACTACATCAATGCATCCACGTTTCGATGCCTATCATAGCATCTCATCAGGCGGTGGCAAGTATATATATATATATATATATATATATATATATATATGTGTGTGTGTGTGTGTCTGTGTGTGTGTGTAGAGAGAGAGAGAGAGAGATAGAGAGAGAGAAGAGACAAAGAGATTTTCGCATTACATTCGCACTAATAGCTAGGTTACTTTGTCGAGTTTTGATCATTCAATTAAGCATATAACATGTGAGAGATGGAGAGGGTCAATGGAGAGTTAAAATATACATAAGAATCCATTTACATCTGTATGTGTCAATTGGATGTACGCACCGAAAAGTTTTTTTTTTTCTTTTTTTTGTTTTATTTTTTAATCTTGATTTCGCTTTCTCGTAACGGATGCATTAAATTTCAATTCAAAAACTTTTACCAGAAAAAAAATGAGTCCATTCGATTTCCTGAAAAAAA